AAAATTATTTAACGTCGTCGTTTATCAACATTTTTTTACGATATTAAACACAAATAAACTCAACGACCTTTAAAATGGACAACGAATCAGATTGTTTTTAATTATAACATAACCTAAGCGAACCTTACAGTATAATAAACGAAATCAACGAAATGCAAATTACACAACATTCAACTTAATCGACGACTTTCTCTAGAAAGGAAAAAAATCTGGACACCGCTTGCTAGTGCTAGCGCCATCTAGCGGTGAGCGATACAGGCGAACACCACGGTGCCGGAGTAGTATTGATTATGAATGTGGTGTTACTCCAGATCTTCGATTTTCCTAGTTTTTATAGTTTTCCCTTTATGTGGCCATTAAACCCTAACTCTGTACCAAATTTCAGCTCTCTGAGTTTATGGGAAGTACTAGTTCTATTTTGATGATCATCAGTGAGTGAGTGAGTGTCATAAATGCGAAACTTTGCTTTCGCTTAACTTCGGAACTAAATGACCTACAGACCTGAAATTTTGGATTTTAAGTATGTGATTATAGCTTACTAGATGACGAAAATTTCTGCGTTCTGGTCTTATCCAGAGGTTCTCAAATAGGGGCCTGAAAATGCGGCGAAATGGTTCCAGTAAAGGATGGTACGGCAGTGTTTGCTTCGCGCTCGACTTGGCGGGGGCACTGCCGTGCCCCCAGATTAATATAAGGTCATTTATGTTTGTATAAAACTAAATAGGCGGCTTAGGGGTGGCCCAAGGGCCACCCCCGCCGCACCTTAACCTATTTTTCACTTTAAATCAAAACATTATGTTATGGGCATCATAGAAAAGTAATATTATGCAAGAAACATTCCAAACTCATTATGCTAAATTATATTAATATATGATATCAAAACGTTCAAAAGTTTTGTTGTACACGAGCACGTACACAAGATGTTGTTTACTTTCTTGAAATTTGTTACCTACTAAGGTTGAATTATTAAATAATCACTGTTAAATGTGATTAATTTATCACTTTTACCGAGACTGTCGGTAATTATTCATAATAACCGGTTATTATTAATAATTTTCAATTTATCACATTAACCGTAACATTACAATAAGAATAGAGTATACTTTTATAATCCAACAACCATGCAGCAACTGAAGCTGAGCATTCGGCAGAAAATAGGTTTCGACTTTCGAGGTGATTCTAACGAACGCATTCCAAGATTTTGATGTATGTTGATCGAATGTTGTAAGCGTCAAGAAAATCTCCTGGGCGATGTAATTTAATAAAGGTAAATTTAAAAATAAATTGCATTAAATTTTCTTTAAATTGCAATGGTTAAAGTTCTATAAAAATGTAACTACAGTTTTCGTTTCCTTGAATTCCTTCAAATTTCGTTTCCTTCAAAAGTGAATTTTCTTCTGGGCCACCATTACCAAGCTTTGGTCTTTCTGTTTACCTTTAAGTAGTTCTTAGCTAATTATACTGGATATAGTACTTCGCATGGCTCTGTGCACACCGGTGACAAATTGTTCAGGTGCTATCAGGTGAGAGAAGCTTGTCTTGCTTAAAACGGGTTAAAAACTATCTACGATCTACTTTAAGTCAAGAAAAGCTTAATGCTTTATCTCTTTTGTGCAAAGAGTCAGAACTTATGACAAAGATTTCAATCGACGATATAATTAATGATTTTGTTAATTTAAAATCTCGCAAAAAAATAACATATAGATGACCCAAGCTGAACTGTCCCACCAAACTCAATGACAGGGGGGCGCTACCATCGTTCAACTATATGGTTTCCAACATGGCAAAAATCGGAACCAGCGCGCGACCCGCTATTGACGCTGGCGCCCCACTCTCAATGTCAGGGATAGGACAGTTTAGTATTTTGGAACTATAAAACATATTTCATCTCATTGTCTGTCACCATTAACTGGATTGTTAACATGTTATATTTTAATAGAAATTGTTTGTATTGTTATTAAACTGTTAAGTCCAATAAAAAATATTTAACAAAAACAATGTTTACTGACCACACATTATTTTGTCTGTGTTCATATTATATAGTGTAGGTATTTTTAAGTCATGCCTTTGCCCACCTTATGATTAGTACATGCTGCTGTTTTTAGGTCAACATTAAACTCTTCAGTACATACCGGGTTGCAATAATAATCTAGTAACTGACAGAAATATCATTAAGTTCACAATCATACTAAACGGGATTAAACTAACGTATTGAATTTCAAAAGTCAGTAGGGGCGGCAAAAATTGAATGGCCTACTAGCGGCAAATTTGTAAATCCGCCACTGTCGGTTACTTTTACTTGTACCTTATGGATACCACTAAACTTTAACGGGACGATTAGGGACCGACAACCCAGACCTGGCCACAAACAGAAGTAGGTAAAGAAACTAATCTTTTGTCACAATAAAACTTTGAAGCCACGATAGCCGAATGGTAAAGGGGTCAGACTAGTCAATTCGTGATCCGAGGAACGCGGGTTCGATCCCCGCCGCGCCACTCGTCTGTTGTGGTCAACCCACTCGTAACACAAGCATAATACTAATTAGCTTACCACGAGGGTTTACGTAAATTTTAAATTGTTAATTCTTAAAAAAACTATGTTAAGAATTATAGAACCTACTTTAACGTTGTGAGCAGTAAAGTTTTAAAATTTATTTGTGAGTGCTGGTACACACTTAAAACTTGAAAATACTGTTAAAACTTTTATGGTTTGTACAATCCCAATAATTTTGTGTCGCGACTGTTCTTTTCTTTTTTAGAAGAAAAGAAAAAAAAAGAATTGCGAAGAACCTACTATGGTAGTTATAAAACATTAATCATACTTTGGTATCTAATGTGTACTTATTATTTTTGAATAGGTACAGATGTTTTCTTGGTCTGGATAGAAAGAACTCCATTCTTTTATCATGGAGGTGCCATTTTTCCTTCAACAGTTTGTTTTCCAGCGTTCAGAAAAGTAAATTTTAGTTCAATTATATGACAATTCAGTACAACACTTTCACGACTATTATCCATATCCTTAACCCTGTCTTCACACATATCTACTTACTGTCAAAGCAAACAGTGACCTTCACTTATTTCCTTGTACCCATTTTGGACAATTTACCCAACTCACATCCTCCAGATCAAAGGCTTGCTTAATCTTTTATGATGCCCGTTTTGAGAGCTATCCCAACTAATATTATAAATGCGAAAGTAACTCTGTCTGTCTGTCTGTCTGTCTGTCTGTCTGTCTGTTACGCTTTCCCGCTTAAACCTCGCAACCGATTTTGATGAAATTTGGCATAGAGATAGTTTGAGTCCCGGGAAAGAACATAGGATAGTTTTTATCCCGGTTTTTGAAACAGGGACGCGCGCGATAAAGTTTTTCTGTGACAGACAAAATTCCACGCGGGCGAAGCCGCGGGCGGAAAGCTAGTTCTTTAATAAACGGAAGCTTTACGAAAATCCTTTACACATAACCTTTCCGATGTAGAGGGACCATGCCAGTTTTTTTTAAATGAGTTTTTATTTCGAGAATTTTCTTAGTGGCATGAATGCTCTAATGACAGGTCAGTCGCAGGTCAACTGGTTGACCCTACAGCAGATTCTATAATAAAATGACTACAAATCACCTATAGCTGTTTATGTATTAAGATTGGTAGCTATGCAATATCTATATATATAAAAATGAAACCCGTTTCGCGTTGTCACGGCATCACGTGTGAACGGCTGAACCGATTTCGATAATTCTTTTTTTTAAATGTTTGTGGAAGTCCAAGGATGGTTCTTACGGAAAAAAATATTAAGAAAATCTCTACGCTAAGGCGGTACGAAGTTCGCCGGGTCAGCTAGTTAATGATAAATATCTTTCAAATTTGCTTACTTAAGCTAATAAAGACTGATGTTAGGCTCAAATATTATATTACTTTGAATTACGATGCAAAAAGCACCCTCTCGCGCTTAAATAAGTAACATCAGTTGATGGTAACAAGCACCACTGTTTATCAACATTAGAGCAATTTCTGTACGTTTATTGCGGTATTTGTCGATGCGTTTATTTCTATAAGAAGGAATGAAATTCTATATTAGACAATTCAATAAATCCAACGCCAGCTGTCCCGCAACCTTTGTAGGTATCTGGCCTAAACTAATGACCAAAACAAACGTATAACGTTATCATACTGTTACGTGTGTCTTCCATAATAGATGGTCACCCTACAGGGCCGGCCGGTCACCGAGTGGCCCAGATACGGCCCGCGGAGGTTTGGGCCGCTGACACGTATAATGGACTACTGAACAGGATTACTTAGTAGCCACAGTAAGGCAGTCGTCATTTTTAAATTTTTATCTGGTAGTGGCAGAAATAGGTACCTTCATTCCATATTACCTGGGTTGAACGCGTTTACGGGTTGAATGGTTTTCAGGAGTCTTTTGATTGGCTATTTTTATTATTTACGCCTATGTTTGTCATCACTCGAGATACAAGCCAAGAGCTTCACAGTTGTGATTCATCATCATCATCATTTCAGCCACAGGACGTCCACTGCTGAACATAGGCCTCCCCCGATGACCTTGCTGTGATTAATAACTATTTTTCAATTTTAAATTCATTAGTCCTATTTTCAGTGCCGAATTTTTAATTATTACCCCAACCGATAAGTTTTCCCGAAGTAGTGGTAGGGTAAGTTTTATTTATAAGTGCCCAGAAAAGGGCCAACATAACATACTAATAAATTTGAATTACCATCAATTATGATACTACAGGGTTTTGTTGATCTACAACTACAAACCAGCATTTTTGTCTACACATTGTTGTGTTGAGAGAAAACATCCACCCACAAGGTGGATTAACGACCTTATAAAGGTAGCAGGAAGGCGCTGGATGCAAGTCGTCACCAACCGGCCATTGTGGAAATCATTGGGGGAGGCCTATGTTCAGCAGTGGACGTCCTATGGCTGAAATGATGATGCTGATGATGAGAGAAAACATAACTAACTCGTATTTATGTTTGTTGCAGGCGGATGGGCGTCACCAGCTCCCCAAGATCCAGTCATCTCGACCCTCCCCTGAACTCGCTGCAGGTAAATATATACTTAGTTATTGCTCCTGAAATCCTTTAAAATAGACTTTATGAGAAAAACTTTTTAAGGGTAGCAAATGCCACTGCGCGCCTGGTGTAATTCGCCTTTAAAAAGGTCTATTTCACTTTGATCACCTGGATTTGATCACCTAGGTGATCAAAATGGACTTCTTATCCAGGGTGATCAAAGGAAAGCAAAGTGTCGCTTGAAGTCCACTTGACACCCACTTGACACCTGGGTGATCAGCCACTTGAAATCCAGGTAATTAAAGTGGAATAGACCTTTAAAATAACGGTGTCCTCTCATTTTAAAGGTGAGCCCTGTGTCCTGCGCGCGTACTCGTAGGCTCACTTCTATACATATAACTTTAGGAATATATCAACTAACCACGTGTTGCCGAGCACGTGTAACTTAATTTCCTAGGCCTAGCCTAACGGCGTATAAAAATATAAAATCTACTAGTACTTTTGTTTGCGACCTCGCCTGCGTGAATTTTGATATAATTTTTGTATCTTGCATAGTCCCAGTGGGTTTTTAAGACAGTAAAAGCGAATTTATTGATTTTTCTATTCATGTAAGTAAGTAACAACCTGTCAAGGGTTTTTCAAATATTGACAAAAAAAAACTTAGCTACATAATTTAGCTACAATCAGAGTGCATTAATCGTTATCTTCGTTGAATGTATTGTTTAAGCCATGATTTGTGATCTGTTGCTGTACCTTAATTAATAAATAAATAAAATAAATAAATTATTGGTTCAGCCGAGTTTTGTGCTTAGAAGCACGCGGGTTCATTTTAAATAGATTAAAGATATTTTAGCCTAACTCTCGAAATTGACTGAAAGTTATCCTGAATCTGTCTAACAACTTGGAACAACTAAGGCTATTTAATCCTAAGTATTTCTAATCCTAGAATCAGGAAAGATTAGCAACAAGCCCTTCAGATTACTTTTAGGTTTTTCTGATAATTCCTATTCCACGCAACATCGATAAAATAATACAAAATAAATGAATAAATCAAATTATCTAAAAACTCTTTTAGATTATTATAATAATACAGCGCTCCTAACTTACTTTATTAAGTAAGTACCTTAGAAACGAAAGAAGAATCCAATTTGATACAGCCGTAATTTCGTGGCCATATTACTGTGATTACATTATTATTATTAACGAAGCCAATTTCACGCGAACACCTTTGATAATACGATAACGCGTGTTTTTGACGTAGACATTTTTATATTTTTGCATGAAAATCTTTTTATTGGGGCAAGTTAATGGTACTGTACTACGTCATTTCGTCTTAGAATATTTGTATTTGAATTGGAAATGTGATTTTCGATCATTAATACTTATAATATGCTAAGGAATTCGCAAATTACGAGTACCTACCTACACACAAAATAGTTTTAAAACAGTGCTATAGCATCGAAAGAGATAAATAAATGCTTTGAAGGATTGATAGATGAAAAGAAACAAAACGGAAACCAAAAAGTAAAACAATATTGACGGCTCCAAGCTTTTCGTTTGAGCTGCGCCCGCGTCGCATGTTGGGCGGATGCTTGCTTCACGTAGCGGGGGCCTAGCTAGAGTGGTTCCAAACCATATACCATACACCTGCAAGCTTTCAAGAGGAGAGCGTATCTTTATCTTAAAGGCCGGCAACGCACCTGTAACGCCCCTGGGTCTGCGGGTGTCTATGGGCGACGGTAATCACTTACTATCAGGTGATCCGTCTGCTCGTTTGCCTCCTATCACATAAAAAAAATAAAATAAATATAGTCCCGCTCAAACCCAGCGTAGATTGACGAAAGGAGGATTCTTTAAAATAATAGTCCCGTTCACCCTTCGTGATAAGCTAAATATTATGCTTGTGTTACGAGTGGGTTCACCTCAATTATAATAGTCCAGCGGCGGCGGGGTTCGAACTCGCGTTCCGCGCATCTCGTAGGTCAGTCCGACACTGCGATAGCCCAATGGTGTCATTGGGCTATCGCTTTAAGATTGACGGAAAGAGGATTAATCAAGTCTTTATTTCTTTCGAAGCGTCGGTAGGGTAAAAGATTGAAACTGTAAAGGCGCCTTAAAAGCAAAACTTGAAGGTTATTTATTGGTCTTTTTTTTCTTTAAATATTTGATGATTTGGGCTATGCTCGGTGTTTCTTTACGAGATCGAATAAGAAATGAGGAAATCTGTAAACGAACTAAAGTCGCTGACATAGCCCGACGGATTAGCAAGCTGAAGTGGCAATGGGCAGGGCACATAGTACGCAGAACTGACGGCCGATGGGGCAGCAAGGTTCTGGAATGGAGGCCGCGTACCGGAAAACGCAGCGTGAGACGTCCACCTACAAGGTGGACCGACGACATCGTAAAGGTAGCAGGGAAGCGCTGGACGCAGGCCGCTACCAATCGATCAACATGGAAAGCATTGGGGGAGGCCTATGTTCACCAGTGGACGTCCTATGGCTGAAATGATGATGATGATGAATCTATTCTTTGCTTCAGGCGGTGACAGCAACATGACAGTAGCACGAGGCGAGAGTTCGCCCGAGCGGCTGGGCGGCGCCCTCCGCCGGCTGCACTACAAAGCCACCCGCCGCGCCCACTCCGCCGCCGCCCGCCACCACAACTCCAGTAACCCGCCTAAGGTGAGACTTTATGGTGATATAACTATGCTATGTTCTTCTTAAATGTATTTTCTATAGGTGGGGAAAGTTTGAAGTAGATTGGGCAAGTAGTTTAGGAGATAATAAGCAACAAACAAACACATAGCAAAAATGTTTGCGTTGTCCGCACTCATGGTGAAAAAGTATTGGTTCTTACGGTTTAGTTAGACAATTTAGGTACCAATGTGTTCTAACTACTTGTAAATTAAATCCATAATAAAGACCTAGGGTAACTGGATGGATATACCTACCTTAATATTGTAAAACTTAAGATATTATAATTAATTAAATACATTATATTGTTTTAATCTTTCATGGTCACTAAACATACATGGTAGCAATCTCGTCAGTAATAATAATTAAGTAAATTACGTCATATCCTACTAATATCCTACTTAATATTAAAAATGCGAAAGTTTGGATGTCTGGATGTTTGTTACTCTTTCACGCAAAAAATACTGAACGGATTTTGATGAAACTTTACAGTATTATTGTTTATAACCCAGATTAACATATAGGCTATAATTATGACGATCTGTGACAAACTAAATTTCACGCGGACGAAGCCGCGGGCAAAAGCTAGTTGAAAATAAAATGATTAATTTTTATTGACTATTTATTTCACAAAACCTAATACATAATACACAGACTGATTAAAAACAAAAGTAAATTTCAACTTATGAAAATACATATTCATTGTCGGATTAGCTTTCTATCATGATCTCGTAAGGCTGCGTTTCCACCAGAGATGTGCGAGGATGCGTAGCGAAGGATGTGTTTGTAAAGAACCAATAGAATCGCTTCATTTACCTCGCCTCGGTCAGCACATCTCTGGTAGAAAAGGCTCAGGCTGTACAACACTAATGAGCATTTTCAAATCTCTGCTACACATCCTCGTACGATACATTTTCCTCGCACAGCTTTGGTGGAAACCCGCACACATTTTCACAGCACAGCTAGACATCTTCGCACGACACAATTCCCTCGCATATCTCTGGGAAACGCAGCATCCTCTCCCTCCCCCAAGGATCTCCACAATGTGCCCGCATCCAGGTTCTTCCCGCGACCTTCACCAGATCGTCGGTCCACCTAGTGGGAGGTCTGCCCACATGCTGATAACATGTTCCATCGTAATAAACTTCTTTCCGACATAATTTAATAAAGAAAACACCTAAAATGACCTAAAACCACAATTTTATTTTGCTTTTCACACGTCAATAAGCCAGTGAGTTACGTTACTGTGACAGCTAAGGTATTTTTCGATGACATCTTTGAAAATTGCAACTCATGGTAAGTTATTTGTATGAAACTTAATAAAAACTTTAGTCGCTATCGTATTCATTTAGATAGGTTTTTTACCTAACGATTTGAGATGAACTCATGGTAGTGTTTTTAGTTTTGCTGTGGTTCAGCTACTAACCGCTAGAGGCGCTGTACAATTTGCCATACATTTTTTTACGCCCTCGATAGCGAGATGCTCGGTAGGTAAACTCATGGTAGAGGCACAGTCCTTTCTTTTGTTTGCTAAGCATAACGAGTTACCAGTCCTGTAACCGCCCCGGATACCGCGGTTCGTTAATTTGCGGGATGTGTCATTAATTACGTAGTTTCGGGGTATTGGACGCTATGATAGATGGACGACATTTTCCTGATATTATGAGCATTCGAAAAGAAATAACACAATTAATGATCTTCCTTGAAATTCAATACACTTGAGTTGCACCATTTTACTTTAACTTTTACAATCGTCAAAAATCCTTCAAATTCCATACAAAAAACACCGGTTATTGTTATAGTAACTGTCAAAGTGAGATGGTGCAACCCAGCCTTAGGTTACAAATAGGTGCTACATGTGCCAACGTAAGTTTGTCACAGACCTGTCCATTGCGTCAACGTAATATATGACACTGGCCAGTGCTGAAAAAACGCATCGCGAGTAACTTGTAACACTGTTGTAACACTTGAGGGTCTATATCTGTTAGAACAAGATGTTACTTGACTCTACATCTACATGTTATTGAATGAAAGCCGACATTCACTATTGTCAGCGCCTTTTTGATACGTTTACGTTTTGGATATTTTATGTTATTTGAGTTGTTATTTGCTGGACAAATTGTAAACTAAAATAACACTATACGCGTTTAACTTAGGTGAAGCGATTAAAGGTGATATTTATTGATTTGTGCACTTCAAGATTTCAAGATTGAGGTTTCCAGTTTCAAGCCGATATGTTGTCCCGATGAGGTGTGGTTAGAGCAAGTTATTTAGGGACATGGTGTATGTGTGCCCTGAAAAGAGCTTATGTACTAATTAGGAATTTGAATTTTAAGGCTGCACAACCAATGAAATAAAGTGGGTTCCATCTAAGTTTATTCATCCATTTTTACGAATTAGAAGTGTGTAAGAAGATTTTAGCAATAGACCGAAACTTCCTCATCTCGCTGAACAAATAGTTGGGTTCTAATTAAATATTTGGCCGACGGGCGATGATTGATCGAGCGGTGTATCGATTAGGCGTGACGGATGATATACGCAGCCTCCATCTAAGAGAGCAAAGGGGGTAGAGGTCAGCTCGTGAGGGTGACTACGTCTTATCTACTTATGATATCTCTTATCTGGCTTTTTTTCCTGGACTATAGATAATGTCAAATCAAATGATTTGATTTATGATTGTAAACGCTACGCTACTGTCTCATCATCATCTCAGCCATAGGACGACCACTGCTGAATATAGGCCTCCCCCAATGCTTTCCATGTTGCCCGATTGGTAGCGGCCTGCATCCAGCGCCTTCCTGTTACCTTTATTTTATGATGTTGTCACTGCTATCTAGAATTAGAAGAAGGATTTGCCATACAGCTTGACAATTTTATTCATACGTGATGCGGGCTGCGTTCACTTTGAACTGACCGCAAACCGTAGAACATAGGTATTACTTATTTATTTTTATTTATTTATTTATTTTAGGAATTACAAACAAATGTGTTACAGAAATTAACTTATCTACTTATCTAGACTCATGTATTATTTATGTGGTAACACATCCCACTACGTAATCCACATATTGATATATGAAACTATGTAATATAGAGCGAGGCAATTACAATTAAGGTAGGTAACTTATAAACGCGGTGTAGCTCAACACCAAGAAGTAATTAATATTATGTTCAGACTTTTAATTATTAATTTTGTTCTGTTTCTTTTTTTTTTCATTTAATTTATCTTAATTTTAATTTGGTCACTTTGCAGAGTGTCTAAAATAATATGCTTTTTAAATCTTGAGAAACTCTGGGAAAAATCGATGCTATTAAAGTATTACGTTAATAACAAAGTCTTACCTATGTTTACTATGTTTTCGTCCTTAGCATGATGTTTGCAAAAATGCAGGAATTTAAAAGAATAAAAATGCTTTGCGAGGGTTATCCCGTAGAGAGATTCTAACCCTACTATCCCATATATTTTTAATCAATCACTATTCTGACAGTTTCCCACACATCCCCGAAATATTATTAAAAGCGGCCCCGTGCCAGCCCATTGTTTCATCGTTCATTAATGCCAAACTCAAGAACTTGCAATTACGAACTTTCCTCGAAGGGACAAAGTTTCCCAGCTTTTACTTTTAATGGTATTTTTAATCAACTTTTAAAAGTTTCGCCAACTTTCAAGACGGCAATATGAGCCGCTGTTTATAAACAGAGCTTAATTGAGTTAAATGAAAGCTTTTATCTAATGGTTACGCATTTTTAAGAAAATAAAACGGTTGGGAAACTTTTGACGGTTTTTGTAATTCAACTAGCTTCTGTCCTTTGGTTCGCCCACGTGAATTAATAAACTTATTTATTTATTCATTTCGAAACTGTAGCGTATATGTTTTTCTGATGGTTAAATCTATAGCATTCTACATCGAAATCCGTTAAATAATTTCTGTGTGATGGAGCAGGTAGTTAGGAAGAGTATCCACCCTGCAATCTTTACAAACTTTCTCGTTATAAATATCGCGAGATCGAATCAGAAATGAGGAGATCCGTAAACGAACTAAAGTCGCTGACATAGCCCGACGGATTAGCAAGCTGAAGTGGCAATGGGCAGGGCACATAGTACGCAGAACTGACGGCCGATGGGGCAGCAAGGTTCTGGAGTGGAGGCCGCGTACCGGGAAATGCATTGTGGGACGTCTACCCACAAGGTGGACCGACGACATCGTAAAGGTAGCGGGGAAGCGCTTGGGGAGGCCTATGTTTAGCAGTGGACGTCCTATGGCTGAAATGATGATGATGATGAATATCAGTACTAAATAGTGACAATGACACGTTCGTAGTCTAAAAGGAAATTATTATAATTCTCTCAAACAACCGGTAAGAAACAAAAAGTGGATAAAATGTGCAGTCAGTGGTTCCCACTGCTGCACAAAGGCTGCACGATTCGTTAAACAATTGGACAGTGCTACAAAAAAAAACATCATTCTTGTGAAAACTAGAAATGAATAGCATTTGCAACATAATTCGATCCAATCAATGTAGATGTCTGTGTGTTACCCGCTGGTGAGAGTGCAAATTACACTCTCGGCGCCCGCGCCAATTTCCGGCGTGACGTCACTAATGAGCCGTCTGCTGCGCCGCCATTTCCTGTGGAAAAGCTTTTATGAGTTATCGAAGTTTTATGTGGATATGTACAAAGGGGAATGTGATTAGCCTTTGATGTAATCGTGCGGTGAAAGCTTTTGCTGAAGGCTTTTATATACTTGTACTTTTTTGCGTGTAAAAATATGTCTGATAAATGGGATACTTGTGAAATTTTTAACTAAGACTAAGTTGTACCACCTTATTTTAACCGTAACAATAACAATAACCGGTGCTTTTTGTATGGAGTTTGACAGATTTTCAACCGACTTCAAAAAGGAGGAGGTTCTCAATTCGACCCGTATGTTTTTTTTTTTTTTTTTTGTTTGTTACGCGATAGCTCCGCCAATTATGAACCGATTTGA